TGGTCTTTCAGGCGCTGTTCACAGCAATCACGACGCTCCCAGCTGGTCTAGAGTCCCAGCGAACAAATAACACCTCAGGCAAAGTCTCCCAGTCAGCTGAGCTGCATTAGTTCTCACAATGCCGGCTACAGCGTCTTCAGCGTCTTTAGCACCTTTAAGCAAAGTTCAAAGAATAATGCCACCTCACACCCGCCCCAAACACCTCGAGCACTCTCCACGCTAAGGCAGGAAACAGCCCAAACTCAGCTCGGCTCCACTCCTGCTGGGAATAGCCGTCCGTGCGAGGGGGAGGGGGAAGACGCCCAGTAAGCTGAAGGTCGTTTGCAACGCCGTTCGTAAACGCCGAGAATGCTGAGGAATGCTGAGGAACGCCGGAATCCGTTTCAGAGCCTCTGGATAAGCCCCTGGGTAATGCTTTTTTAAATTCGCTCACCACTCCCAGGCTCAGTCCAAGCTCTTCTCTTAGATCCCCCACTGCTTAGATCTGATAAACAGCGGGGGAGGGTTCAGTTCAGGACAGTTGAACGCTCTTCTCAGCCGTAGCGAAAAGCTCAGGCAGCCATCTTCCCAGCGCAGGCGCACACTGACACCAATGAAGAGCCCTTGGTAACTTGGGATGCTCCTCCCATAACCATCCCCGTAGAACATGAGGTGCCTTCTTTGTACAATAAAGGGGATTTGACTGCCATTTCGGATTCGGGTCAGCCCTAGTGGGGTGGAAAAAGTGGGACTGTGCCTTAGAGCAGTGGTCTCCAACCTTGGCAACTTTAAGACTTGTGGACTTCAACTCTCAGAGTTCCTCAGTCAGCCAGGTCTTAAAGTTGCCAAGGTTAGAGACCACTGCCTTAGAGAATGTAAGATACCTGTAGCTTTCTGCTAATCAAATGGAACTAGGGCAGCGGGAGCCCCCACAACATTTGTCACTGAATGAGTGGTGAGGAGAATGGTGGCACACCAAGAGTTTATGTTTTATCATGACCCTGGCAATAGAGAGGCAACTCAGAGCCTATCGCGGGCCAGATCCAGCTCACGGGCTGCGTGTTTGACATGTCTGCTTTACGCTATATCACAAGGGTGACTTTTTAGTGGATGCTTTTATCTAGAGTGCCACAATACAATCGTGTTAAGCTGGAGCTCATCCAGCCAGTTATCCCTTCAAAGCAAATAGCAATTCCAGTTATCATAAGAGCTCGAGCAAAGCAGCCAAAAACTACACCTAACAAAGAAATTGAAACACTGAAAATAGCCCTAAAAGATGGCAACTAGTTTAAGAAACATAACAATGAATGTGTGAGGGCTTTGCATAAGTTGGAGGGAAACTCTACATTCCTAAGAGCTGATGAGCTTTAGTCCTAGAGAAAAGGCATGATTCAAAAGCAGCAGGGCCCTTTGGGTTTCATACAGTTTCCCTTCAACCTATGCAAGGGGAAGAATTCATTGCCATGCCAGAACTGCCCCAAAGCATGCCTCAGACTGTCTCATTGGCTGACTTGATCACCCAACTACAACACATCTAGCCCTTGGTCCATAAAGCACTAGATGACACATATCTTGCACACATTCCAAACCTTTGAAATGGGAGAGAAAGTCAACCTTTATAGTTATATAGTTATATAACTATATCTCAATCTAGACAGAAGTCAAAAAAACTGGGGCCTTTTTCCCATTTGTAAAATCATCAACCCTGTCGCACTACAACTAACGCTTCCCAAAAATCTCAGACAAATCAATCCGGTATTTCATTGCAGCCTGTTGAAGCTGGCACTAACTCCTTCATTATGGCCGGAGCCAGGAACCCTTCCAGCCCCACCCTGATTGAACGGGAACAGCATTTTGACATTAAAGACATTTTTGACTCCTGCAAGCACAGTGGAAAAATATTGCCTGGAATATGGCCTCATTTGCCTGGAAACATTTTCCCCTTTCTGAAACCGAATGGGTGGATGCACGGCATGTGCATGCACCTAAACTACTCCAGAGATCCATAACCAATATCTACATAAACCACGGAATACTAACTAATCTTTCTCTATCTCTTTCCAGGACTAATGTCCCTATGAAGAAGGGCAGCATATCAGGCTATCCTTTCCATCATTTGTGCTGCAGCCTGCCACAATCCTGAGAAAGAGGAGGATGGTGTGGAAAGGGGGTCTGTTGTACAGTGGAAAAGATGGCGAGAGCAGCATGGATAGGAAGCAGAGGTGTCAACCAGTATCATCTGGTTCTCTTTAAGGACCTTTGGGTGCTCAGGAACTGGAAATGGAGTGTTAACTGCTTCTCAAAGTGTCCTGTTCTCAAAACATTCAGTTACCATCCTACTGGGCACTGATGAGCTGGTCAAAATGGGGAGGTCTAAGGGTTTGGAACAGTGTAGCAATTTGTGCGGGTTTTCTTCGGATCTGGCCTCGCTTTCTGTCATATCCCATAGATTCCTATAGGGACATTTTTGTCATTCTGATGGAGGCTTGGCGGGGATCTTTGAATGCAGTTTCTGTTTCTATTCCTTGCTTTCCTTGCTGTAACTTTTGGGACCTTGGGAGGCGGGAAAGGAATGTGCCTCAAGCCAGCTGCCTTATCTCGTCTTTGGAGAAGAGCAGCAGCGCTGCCTGGGAGACTGGCATTTATCATCTCAGCCTGAGTTTCCCATAACATCTTCACACCTTGGGATTGGCTCGATGATGAATTGGACTTTGGGAGGGGCTCTGTCTGCAATGATTTAATCCAATGGTTCCCAACTTTTTTTTGGCCATGGCCCACCTAAACATATTTAAAATCCTGATGCCCCCCCCGACATATAATTCTAATTGTACTCAAAAAGTGAACTCTACTCACAATCTTCCATTAAAATTCCTTTTGAGATGGTTTTGTTTCAAGAGTTCTGCTTTCTTGAGAAGTCTGGGGAGGCAGGATCTTACACTTTCACTGCTTCCAGTTGTCTTTAGTAAGAGACCCTTGTAACCTGATGGAATCAAGCATCTTTCTTTCCTAGAGAGCCAGCTGCGGCAGAGCTGACTGTGATTCTTGATATTTCCCTACTAATCATTTTTCAAGATTACCATAAAACTCAATGTATCTCATTATTAGCAGTAAGATAAATGTAGATAAATCTATTGTTATCATACCTCTAAACTTTAAGCTATCTCATGGATCATTTCATATTAATAGGGTTGATATCTAGGTCTTGAAACAAAAAGAGTTGTCTTCAGGAATGCCTGTCCTGAAAGGCTACATCTATTTTCCATTCATTATTGTTTATTAAATATGCTCTTTAAAAAAAACAATGGTAGACAATATTTGGAGAGTACTACCATAACCTACTTCATTACATAACTTTTCTGCTAAGCAGATATATAAAAGTAATTTTATCCTGAGCTTTGTCTTAGATGTCTATAGCACTAGTATTAATATGCATTCTATAAGACATATATGAAAGAAATAGTATCAATTCAAGAAACAAGAATTAAACCACTAATTGTCATTATCAGTTCAAAAAAGTCTTGAAATAATTAGAAATGTTTCAGATCTATTCTTCCATGCAGTGATTTATTTCAGTTCATGATTATATAGCTTCTTGTGTCTCGTTGCATTGCAAGAAGCAATAAGATGCACATGATGTAAATATACTACTATAATAAGGTTTGCTGTCAACACAGATTGCATTCTGTTTCCGTGCTAATACAATTGATCAAATACTTGATGATGCTGATTGTTCCTTTTCTTCTAAGCAAGTTTCCTTTGTGTCCACAAACAGCTGTGTTTATCCTCTATTAATTTATAGCTTTATTATGTTGTCATCACATTGTGAAAAAGCACTGCACAAATCCTAAGAATTCTTCTTAACATCTGGAAAAAAGAAAACATATTTTTAGGGACAAAATCATAACACTTATATATTCTGAAACTGTCAAAGGAGTTTTACTAAATTTGCTTTTTTAGGATTATAACTATTCTTTTTAAGAAAGAAAATACTTGAAAAAAAGTCTATTACCTAGATAAAATTAAGTCATTGTTGTATCGGCAAGATTCAAGGCATATATATAAATACGTCACTATTCTTAATTTTAAAAAGTATGAGAAACAAGCATAGAAGGATTCTAGGATTGATTGATTGATTGATTGATTTGCCACCCATCTTCCCAATAAGACAAGTCTGGATATGCCATGCCATCATAAACAAATAGAAACTACATTGTACTTGCTCTTATAAAACTGCTCACAATTTTAATTATTAAAAGGTGAAATGAATTAAAAAGTGGGAATGACCTAATTGCAAATTTCAGTTACAAAATGTACAGGAGATATACACAATATTCTGTTCATGTCTTAAATTATTAGGAATTCTCACTGTTATCTCTAATTTATATTTGCATACTTTAAGCATACTTTTTTAAACTGCACTTTTGTCACCCCTTTTCAGAACTTCTACAAATGTCACATTTCAGTTGGAAAATAGGCTGGTTTGATCATTTCAGGACTGCTTGGCACTCAGAATACTTCCAAAATGCTCAAACCAGCAGAATTCATGCTTGAAAACAGGGTCTGTAATTCAGAAGAGTTCATGTTAAAAATATTTTGGACATCTTTAGCTGCAACTGTGAACCAAATTAGAAATATAATTAATAATTAATCACGCTAGCTTTTTAAACGACCCTGTAATTCCTTAATTCTGGGTAAAGTCAGGGCGATTGTCCTTCTCAATGCCTCTGCAGAGTTTGCAGCAGATATTTTGTCTTTGCATCCTGAGAAAGAAACATCTGTGGCTGCATAGGATTGAATTCTCAACCTTATGAGTGGTAAGCAAGCATTTTCATCACTAGGCCACCCATGCCACTCAATAATCTTGCTAGTAATTGACCCATTTTTATTTTGCAAAACAAATTGCAGAATCTTTCCAATACTATTTTTAGCTTCACAAATAATCATCTTCACATCTCTGTGAAAACCAGTTATTCCAATTCCATTTCCCCCCTCCCAACATATATTATACACAAAGGAATTTGAAACCCTTGTTAAGTGTTGTGGTGCACTATGAAAACACATGTTGGGAGCAAGCTAGTGATACATTGACAATGCCTATTTCAAAGGAATGATAGCCAGTATCAATTCAAAAGGTTGCTTTTACATCCCTTCACTGGACTTAAATTATCCACATTTGGTTGCCAAAACAGTTACGTAGATCTTATTTTATATTATACTTTTCTTTACCCCAAGTGACTGTCTTACCATGAAACTTGATTCATTCTTCACAAAACCCAGTCTACTGGCTTTGATGGTTTCTTTGAATATTTCCTTGTTCCATTTGCTTCGTAACTCTTTGGTTCTTCATCTTCTACAGTGAAGGGACATTTGGTCTAGTCAGCACATTTTTATATTTAAGCATCCTTTGAACTAATCAAAATCAATTGATTTCTACATTTATTTTAAAATAAGTGTCCTTATATGCTGGATTAACTGCACATAAGTGGCTGATATGAGATTTTTTCAAATTACTGACAAGGAAAAGCAATTTGCCTTTTGATATATGGATTCCCGCCATATATTGATCTGGCATGCCTGTAATGTATGATGTATAATGTATGTATAATAAATGTGGAACACATTCTTTTTTTTTTTTTTATTAAATGTTTTTTAGTTTTAGTT